AAAAATTCATCCAAAGTCTAAGGCCCTGTTTGATAACCAAATTCACCACTTAAACTTAATGGATTTACATCTTAACATATTCAGACGGGTTTGATAACAAAAAATTGAACATTTGAATTAATTAAGTAACACCGAATTTTTTAGACAAAACTTGCTCTCAGAATTAAGTAATAAGTTATTCACTTATCACTGAATATGATATACACTCAAATGTATTAGATTTATTACTTAATAATTCAATAACTTAATGGATTCATATTTTAGATTTCAATTTTTAGGTTTCAATTTTATCAAACGCACCCTAAATTGTATAAGGTAATTTGTAGCTATTGTTGAACTTTGGTCATTATAATTGTTTGCTGATTCTTGTTTATTTCTATTATAATGTATTTTGTTTTTTCTGTTAAAATCTAAGCCCCTGAAACTAGTTATGCAGCTTCAAAATCGACATTAGCAATTACTAGATCACAGGCTCCTACCCAAGTACTAATGTTACAAATAAAGCAATAGCTAATAACAGCAGAAGCAAAAAATAAGGAAGCAACCAAAGCAAATCCTCCAAGAGGGACCATGATGTAATTGGGAGGTTTAGGTTGGTAGATTCAAACTCTAAGAGACCTAAAAATGCATTGTTTGATCCTTTTTTGTCATGTTCATTGACTTGGTTAACAAGAGAACAATTACTAACTTTTATAACTGGATTATAATAGTTAGTATTATTGTAGAGATATTTTGCCTTTTGGTATTGCTAAATTTTTGCTGCATTTTAGATATGCTACACTGGACTATGCCTACTCTTGTCTTTGTTTCTTGGAAATATTTGGGTTTGGGTGATGAAGCATTCCACATTCAGGTTGATTGTTATGTGTTTGTTTGTTGGAAACATTTTGTATCTTACATTTAGCTTGTTCATATCATATCATTGCTTTTTTATTCATTATGATATATAAATATCAAGTATTTTACAACCAATAAGATGATGAAGTCTTAAAACCAAATAGGAGCTAGTTCGAAATAATTTTCCATTACACAAATAAAAGAGGATGAACAACAACTTATTAGATGAATAAAAGGTTATCTAACAACAGCTTATCCACTCCAATGTCCCAGATTCTATAAAATTGCTAGCAAATCACAATATGTAACAATTATTTACAAAAAAGAGAAAAACAAGTATGCCATCACCATCAATTTCATCATCTACCAAGCCCTCAATATAATGAATCTTTCACTATAAAACCAAATTGATATCATAGTTGTTCATGTTCATCCCTTTGTTGAAGATGTTCGTTTTTTTTTTTTTTTGGCGTTGTGGTTACATTTGGACCTATCCTTTCTACAGAAGGATTTTGACAAGTTGATTCGTTGTTCATCCTATCTTTATTAATTGGGTTGCACTATGCCTAAAACGAGTAATCTCTATTTTCACACACAAAGTACAATATGCATTTAGATGCTTTTTGAGATTCCATCACTTTAATCTTTGCTTTGTTGTCACAGTAACATTGCTTATATTGGAACCTCAAGCCCCTCAATCAACCACCAAAGTTTTGAGAGTTTGATATACTCGATTTCTTATCTGGATACTGTCTCTTCATTCCCACATCTACTCTCTCTCTCATTTTTAGATTAAAAATTCACCACAAAGTACTTTAACTAGACATGGAGGGGAAATATGGAATTCAAAAAGAGAGAGAGAAAAAATTGAATGTATTTGCTTCACAGCCAATTTTCAGATAAAATCCAAAAAAGTTCCTAAAGTACAAAGGGGTTATATGAGGGTTTTTTTAGGTAATGGGGGAATATCATGATCGAACCCCAAATCACAAGCACGTTTTCATAGTTTACTCTTCTTAAAAGCATAATGAAAGAACTATAGGTAACTTTGTGTCTATTTTCCTCTACTACTCTTTTAGTCATACTATAATCTAATGGCATACTTTATGTTTCTATACTAAGTCAATCAAGTTATTTCTTACCCCTATGCCCAAAGCAAAAAAAAAAAATTTATGATAAAAAGGCACAAAAAAAAAAGGAGCAAAAGATGATTATATTAGGATTTAACTTGATAATCCTTTTCTGTCATTGAGAATAGAGATGATAACTGCTAAGTGATTATACTACATATGTGCTATTCATTAAGATTTAGGCTCTGCTTGAGAGATCAGTTTTTTATCAAGTTTTTATTATACAAATTTTTAAACAATTTTGTCTATAGTAACATCTAAAAGTACCCAAAATTTAAAGCACCACAAAACATGCACTTATTTTTCACTTCTACCTCCATTCTACCATTTCACCTACTATCTCGTAGCAGCTATTGCCTCTCCTTTTTTTTTTTTTTTTTTCTCTTCTTTCATCTTTCCTCTTTTTCCTCTTTCTCCTTCCCTCATCATCTTCTTATTTCTTCTCCCTCTTTCCTACCATCACCCCTTTTCTCCTCTTTTTTTTTTTTTTTCTTTTTCCCTTCCATTCTCTCATCCACCCACTTCTCCTCTCTTCCCCACGACCTTTGCTCTCTTCTCCTGCTTTAATCTAAACTAGATTTGGTCAAGATCGGGCCATGAGAAAAGAGCGGGAGTCACAGGAATGAGGGAGGAAAGAAAGGAAGACAAAAAGAGGGAAAATGAAGTTAGAAAGTAAAAAATGAAAAAATAATATTAGTCACTGTATATTTTTTTTTTGTGAAAACTAAACTAAAAATGGAATCTACGTGAAAATTTGAGATGAAGTATACTTTTAGTAAATTTTGGTGAAAGGAGGAGATGGCAGTCGATGATAGTCAGCGTAGTACCATCAACAGAAACTCTATAGCTATTGCTATATAAGCAAAGGAAGAAGAAGAGAAGAGGAAAGAATGATGGGAAAAAGGAAAAAGAAAAGAAAGTTTTTCAAATTTTTTAAACCTAAATACACAAAAGTATTTCTATAAATTCTTCTGTATGTTACAGTAAAATTTTATACACATACTCCGCAAAGTAAACATTCCAAATGAACTTAATTCTACAAAAATTGTGCTATAAAAAATAATTAGCCTATTGTATCTCGATTTTACTGTTTAATTAGTTATATTGGCAAATTTTTGTAATTTTCATAAATTGATCATACTAGCAATTATTATGGTTCAACTAGCTTTTATACTATAAATGTGAGTGTCCTGTCAAAAGAATGGTTTTACAATGCTAAATCTCAAGATTTTGATACCGTTAATTGAAAAAAGTATCTGAATAATTGAGAAGTTGTTCATTTCTCATTTTGGCAATATGATCTTTTTATACTCATGAAATTATTCATCGTTTTTGCACTAGAAATCTTTTTTCACTAATTGTTGTGCGAAAAGGATGTATACAGTGATCAAGAAAATATTTAGCACTATCGAATAGCAAACATGCACTATAATTCTACAAAAACTGCTCTACAGCAAATAAGTGAATTTTTGTTTCTCGATTTAGTTGTTGAATTAGTTGTACTCATAAAATTTTTACATGATCCTATAAATTGATTGCTCAAAAATAGCAATTACGATGATTCACTTAACTTTTACACTACAAATATAAGTGTGTACTATCAAAAGATAGTTTTGTGGTGCCAAATCTCAAGATTTTGGTACTGTTCATCAAGAAAAGTATTTACATAAATGAAAAATCGTTCCTTCCTTATTTTGATAACATAATATTTTGTGCTCATGAAATTATTCCGAATTTTCGCACTAGAAATTTTTTTTCACTAATTGTTGTGCAAAAAGAATGCATACGTCAAGTTGCAAACATGCACTGTGGCACTACTTGGGAGACCAATTTTTTGCCTAGTTTTTATTATACAAGTTTTGAAATAATTTTGTATATATTTACCTCTGAAAATATCTCAAAATTTTTAAAATACACACTTTTTGACTCTTTTCCGTCATATTCTTCTCTTCCTTTCTCTCTCTCTCGCCACCATCCTCTTTCTCCCCTCTTTTTTTCCCTCTCTTCGGTTGACCACCAACAGTGGCACCGTTTGCTAAACTCCATAGTTGTTATTGTGTGAGCAAAGGAGGAAGAAGAAGAGAGAAAAGGAAGGATAAAAATTAAAAGGAAAAAAAAGAAAGTTTTTCAATTCTTTAAACCTCAATGCACACAAATTTTATAATAAGTTAAAATAAAATTTTAAATAAATATTCAAAAAACACACTTTCCAAAAGGAACTTAATTTTGATGAGGGAATACCAACAGATAATTCGATAGAAATTAGCAAAGATCTTACCTCAAAAAAAAAAAAAAAAAAAAACCGATACTTCAACATAGAATTTGTGTAGGCCGGTAACTAATTAATGCAAAACTTAAATACAATAGATTTCTGGGCCAATCCACGAGACCACCACTCTCATTTTTTAGTTTTCCAGTAGTGCATAACATATCATAGCCCAAACCCTTACGTGTTAATTATCTTTTTTTTTTTTTTTTAAGGTTCTTATAATGATCATCACTTCATGGTCCAGAGCTAGGGAAAAAAACACATTATTTCATCTTAAGGGATTTTTGCGGCACTGAGTGAGTCTTTTTTCATTATGACCATTTCTACATTGTTCTTAAGGTTATGTTTATAGGGATAATTTCAAAAACCTCCCCCAAGGTTTTTGATATTTCATTTAGTACTCTCAAAATTTCAAAAATTACACTTACCTCCATTGATTTGACATTTTAATAATCAAACCTTAAAATAAGGTTATATATGATAAGTTAGATGAATATTTGGTGCATTAACAATGGTCCTATAGGCATTCATTAGAAAAATTCAAAGTTTAAGTTTTCTTTTAAACAATTGTAAAGTAATTTGGCATAGTTTATTCTTTTTTTTTTTGTCCTGTGAAAATCTTTCCAAGTTCCACAACATTTTATTGATATAAATTAGAAGTGCAAATAAGTCAAATCGATCCCGAACAGTGTCATGCTTGAGCTCAACTCGATTGAGTTTAAAATTCAACATATGAAATTCGATTCACTAAGATCTCTGAAATGCTAGCTCGAGCCCAATCGAGCTCAAACTTGAGTTTGACGTATTAAGATCGATTAAAAAGGAGGCATTTTGGGAATTTACAAGAACTCAGTACCTATATATGTAATTTACTATACACCAATAAATAAATAATATATATAAAATACATACTGCTCGATCACAGTCGACGAGCAATCGAGCTTAACTAAAAATGATTGATACTCAGCGCGTTTGAGTAAACGTGCCGCTCAAGATCAACTCGAACTCGATCAATGCTGAGCCGAGTCGATCGTTTGATCGATTAACTCGCAAATCGCTCCGGTTCGTTTTGCACCCCTAATTCAAATGCATTTAACGATGAAGACAAAATAAAAATAAAAGGTACTTCAAACTTTTTGCGTAGATGAACTGCGCAGCCATCATCAAGGAATTGCACACAGCCATCATCAAGGAACTCCGGAGGGAAAGGGGAAGAAAGAGGAGGAAATAGTCGGTTTGAAGAATTGTCTGATGCTTTTTAAAAATCATCTGATACGTTGATCTGATGAAGTTCCCTGATTCACAGTCTGTTGTCTCTGGGTTTTGGAGGCAGAGAATTTATTTAACAGCAACAGAATCATCATATAATCCATTGCCCTGCCTAGCAATCAGTAAATGGTTTTCAGGAGAGATACCGGGTGGAACATACTTTACAACTTGAGAGTGTAATCCAAGCTCCTTGAGCCACATCAATCTTCCAGCATCAATGATATCTTTACACATGAATCCCACCACTGCCCTCTCCACAGCGCTCATATTCCTAACAACGTCTCCCACTCCAGATTGACTTAATTCTGCTCCAATCTCTTCCTTCTCACTGTTTAAAAAAAAAAAAAAGAAGATCAAAGAAGCTTGTTAAAACAGAAACAACAAATCAATTCCATCCACGAGAGGAAAAGAAGAGGTGCGTCATTAACAGAATGTTTGGAAAGATGATAAATAAAAAAGCTATATCATGATGTAACTATCAGACTAGCAGTACGCTCCAAGTATATGTAAAAGATACATATTTCATCAAACTGCAAAGTCAGCAATACATGATGGGAAGGCATATTAAGATATGTAGTAACATATTATCTTTAGTACGATATTTCATTTATGCTCATCCCCATTGAATTAAGAGTGGATCTGTAGGTGTTTTGAATGAAACCATTGCATCCACACCTCCCATTCCACCAGACAATCCATAGTGCAAAAAAAGAATAGGAAACAAACAAATAACAAAAAGTTTCATTCTGTACTTGAGACTTAGATTCGGCGAGCTGTCAACGACAAAAATGTCTGATCCATGGTCTGCATCAACTGCCCAGCTAGTAAGCCATGTCATTGCATGGAAATCTTCCTTGGTCAAACCGAGATTCAATATGTAGTTCTTATCTGCAATACAATCCAGCTCTGATCTCATGAAAAACTAATCAAGCCAAATAAGTGCATATCGTGTAGAAACAATGCTCCATTTATTTGTAGAGGAGGGCCAAAGAAATTACTTATGTAGTGTTTCCACTGACAAAGATGATGACAGCACGTAGCTATAGCGAGACCTCTGAGGAAACAACTGGCTTTCAACTGATCAGCATGATTTTGAGCACTTTGTTCCAATATGCAACACTTCAACGTCATATCTTTCCCACCGCCAAAAAAAAAGGATGAGTAGAAAAGGAAAGTGGTACTTAAGAGGTAAAATGACCAGAGTCATCAAAATTCCAAGTTCCAATTGCAACGTTTATTACCTGTTGCCGGCCCACAAAGATGTTTACCAATTGCCAAATAAGGAACCCCTTGCAAAGACTTGACAGCATTCAAGTTCAAATCTTCAACTGCAAAAGTAAGTATTATGTGATAGGGAACTAGAATGCTTGAAATTGTAAGTGGAAAAAAAATGCATACCTTAATTTTAGAGACTTGTAACAATAAATTTTTAGTGGAAAGTACACGACTTTCTATGTTCCATTAAACTAGGAAGAGAAATATAAGGAAAACAAATAGAAAGCATAAACTTCTCCAAATCAGACATGTTTGTAATTGAGATATTGACAACACTCATGGGAAATTAAAAAAAAAAAAGTCTCCTGCAGAGAGGAGCCACTACTGTTGTCACTCATCCTAAATGGAAAATTCGATATCATTTCAAAGAATAGAGAATTTTTTTTTTTTAAAAAAAGAAAAGATTCACCGATCCATAAGCATTCCTAATTCCTCCATGCCAAATATAACAAAACATAAGTAGGGAGAAGGCAACCGATTTCAAAGTGAAGCAATATACTGATAGTTTCATCCTATACAGGCAAAGCTTGTTTCGTTTACAAAAGCAACTGATTGATGGCAACCGTTCAGAAACAATATGACAACTTATGCAGCAACAGGAGGGAAATCATTGGTCTTAGTAAAAATATACTCACACTATTGTCAACTCAGCATGAACCAGCAGTACAAGGAGACGAAGCAATAAAAGACAAAAAAGACAAAGCAGTAAACAAGAGTTGTAAAAGGTTGATGTGGGAAAAGCAGAACAAATGGGAGAAAGTTATATGAAATGTGAGAGAGAGAGAGAGAGGATGAAAAATTGAACAACAGCATTGCAAAGAACCTTACTATCGATCCTCAAGCGCTCCAACAACAGGTTCTCTATTTGTCTCAAACTTCGATCAGCCTAAAAGTAGCAAAGATCACAAACAGCACGGATGGAAAGAGCGTCAAACTAATAAGGAGGTGAAATGAGCTAGTGAAGCTTGAGAATAACATGAGCTGGGAAAAAAATCTAAATTACTGTTATTATTTTCTATAGGGGACGGACAGGTGATTGACCTTAAGCTTGTAGGACTTGCGCTCAACCAAAAGCACTTTTTTAATCCCGTAGCAGTCAGCAAGCAATTGGGTCAGGTAACCCCTCCCAGCTCCAAATTCCACGACAGCAGGAACATCAACATCGCTGCGGTCTAGAGTCCTCGCATCAATTACAGCATCCTCTACACCAGACTTGGGCAACAGTCCAAATTCTTCCAGGTTACCAAGGATGGAGGCCTGCTGCAAAACATGTTTCTCTTGGAAGGGTAACTTCCTACAATCGAAAAAAGAGCACTCCACCCAGCAGTAGGGTAAAGAAATAAGTACAAGGAGTAACTTTATTCGTTTATGCTAGTACTATTTATTCATCTATTTGTTTAATTTTTTCATTTGGGAGAGTCAAAGGGGGGGGGGTGTTGTACCGATCGATTTGTCTACGAGTAGACCAAACAGCACAAGCTTGAGGAATCTTGAAAGAATCTTGAATGCGGGTATTATCGGAGAGGGATGCATGAATGCTCTTGATTTTGCGGATCAAGTCACAGAATTCAGGGACAGTCTTGTTGTAGATAGCTCGTCTCTTCATATGTGAAGCAGTAGCAGTATGATCTTCATCGATGCCTCCGCCGGCATTGATGCCCTTTTGGTAATAGGGTTGGAGGGAGAGAGACTGAGCTTGTTTGAGGGAGGGGCATCTGGTAAGGTGATTTTCAAGATTATGCTGGAGTACGGAGCTACGAGGGAGGGAGGGAGGAAGGAAGAGGGGGAAAAAAAACAATAACACAGAATCAGGAAAACACAACACAGGTAGAGTCGACGGATAAAATGAAAGTAATAAAAGTACCGAATGAGAAGCTAAAAGATAGTATTGGTTAAGAGTTTACTGAGAAGGGTCAAGGGGGCATTGAATCCATTGGTGATTGGACCTTTGTGTGTGGTTGCCGCAGAAACTGAATCAGAGCCACCAGAGATAATGGTCGTGTTACTTGCTAGTATTACTGATGAATGGAGTATCTATTAAGAGTAGACAAAAGGCTTTGCAAGTAGGAGAAGAAGGAAAAAGGGAAAAGAAAACACTGCTACCAGAGAGAGAGAGAGAGATAGCTTACGAGGAATTAGGAGAGGAGCATTGGCACAGAGTCTATTCTTCTTCGGGAGCCAAAACTGGCAGCGCTCACTCTTCAAATCCACCATCAATCATCAAGGGTAAGGCTACCATTATGCTTGTGTTTTGGATACTAGTACCATTTATGTTTGTCCGCTCCTCTTATTGCTTTTCAAATGCACCATTCTCCGGCGGCTGTCCCGGGAGGGTTTGGTGTGCGTTGCAGTATCGGCTGTGCAGTTTTGGGACATGCAGTGGGCCTCCTCTACGCGTTTGGGCCACTAATAACCAACTGCTGACACTTAGCATAGGAGTACAAGTCCACTTCTTCATTTCTGTATACTTTGTACATCCACCCAACATCCGCCAAGTGGGTTGGGTGGGGTTTTAGTTTGCCGGCCCTGTAATGAAAGGGTCCTGTCTGTCCTTAGAGTAGTAGCGTGGAGGGTTCCCAAAACGATTGAAATTCTAGGCTTCAAGTTCAACACTGTAATTTATTTTTTTCCACATATTCAAGTTTGTCATCTTGCTTTACGCTGCTACTGTCGAACAAATATTGGGGTAATGCAAGACAGTTTCTTACTTCCCTCCAATATTGTGTGTGTTCGAGGAATTAGCTGCGGCTCATCTCATGTACTTCATTCATAGATTTTTTTTTCTTTTAAATAATCACGCGCACTTTTTTGCCCTTTATTTACTTACCACCCATTTGGGCAATAACCATAACCCCTCAATGACAATAATGGGTTTTCCGGGATATTCCCTCTGGTGCAAACACATGTTTGGTAGTGATTGTGTTGCTATAGGAATCAACTTATTTTTAATTATTTATTTTCCTGCATCATCTTTGTGTCTCTACTGTTTGAAGAGAATCTCCCAACCTTTCTCTCAGTCTACACCAAGTCCTTCGCGAATTGGTGATGATGGACTAATCTCAAGAAATTCCATGATCATAACTCAAATTTCTCATCCAATTTCATGCGATATGGCAAATTAAACAAACCAAAGCTTTTCGCTGATTTGAATATGGATTTGCAGCAAATTTGCCTTCCTCTAAAACTCATCATGGAGAGAGAGGAGATTTGCCTTTTTATGGATTGACAGCTGAGTTGCCTAAACAGATTTAAGTGCAAAAGCAGTAATGGAGAGAGAGGAGATTTGCCTATGAAACCCATCATGGCAGCAGCAAATTTGCTTTCCTCTAATTCAAATATGGATTGGAAGAAGAGCAAGAGTAGTAATGGAGAGAGAGAGAGAGAGAAGAGTGGAGCGTACATGGCGGAAGAAAAGGTGAGAGCAAAGACCGTAGGAGGCTAAAGGGAGAGAAGGATGAAGGTGAATTTGGTCCGGAATGGCGTTTGTCCACTTTTAGGTTTTCCATAGCCATAGATCCATACCTATAGGTACCAACCAAACATTATGTAAAGGACTTGACAACTTAGATATCCGTTCCATAGCGGTGATTCCACCCAACCAAATGAGTGGTTATTTTTTTGAGTGCAACATTATTACAATTGATCCTGTACTGAAAGTAACCTGTTTAACCCATTGAAAGGTTTGAAAATAATCTATCTAATAGATTCTCCTGAGGATAAGGCATACTGTAGGCAAAGGGAGGGGAATGGAGAGGATAAGGCATACCGGAGACTAGGGGCGGGAAATTCTATTAAGAGGTTCGAAGAAACCTATCTAACAGAAGATTCTCTTGAGGGCAAGGCCCCAAATGAATGGTGTCCGAAACGAAGGGTGTCCAAATTTTTATGTCGGCAGTAGCTCTACGCTTTGCGGGAAACAGGTAAGAGAGGGCCGATGTAAATTGCATGGGTTTTGGGATGCCGGAAAGAGATGGCAGAAGATTGTATCCTATTATCCTATCCTGCTATCAAACCTTCTCTCCATTCCCCCTTCTTAAAAACCTGGATCCGCTCTCTTTCCTGGCGCCACCCAGGACCTTTGTTGTTATAATGCCGGTTTAACTGATTGATTATGAAGTGCCCCCCCCCCAGCCCCTAAGCAAGCTTCTAATAATTCAATAACATTGCTGTTACGCAAGCAGGCTGCAAATTTAGTAGTAGTATTACTTATTAGTCGTAGTACATATAACTGAAACATGTTCTTCAACACAAACCGTTTGTTGCGTATGCTACCACCGGAGCTAATACTTTTTATCTTCAAACTTTCTGGTGGGACAGAAAATGCTCCGCCATTTTCCTGTGGTTTTCCGCAGAGGACAAATAGAATCTGGTCGACCCAACTAATTGACGTAGCCAGGAGGTCCGGCCGTCAATTTTTTTGCTTCTTCTCAGCTGAAATCCTGCCATGGAAGATTGATGTTAGTTTCACAACAGATGCTCGACCGAAGCCCAGGTCTTTTCAAAGTATTCGCACAAAGGATTATTGGTCTTAATATAATTAATTCATCTCCTGGAATCTCCCCTGCTGCGTTGAAAGTAGTAGTGTAATAAATTCTCCTGCATTTCGGACGCCATTCATTTCCAGGAATGTACTTTTTTAAATTAAGAAATAAACACCCAAAACAAACAAACCCACACACCTCAACGATATTTTGACTACTTCCTCGGAAACTAATACAACCTCAAGTATGCGTGGGGAAACATTCTTGAAAATATGGAATCTTTTCCTTTAGCTAGCAGCACGTATGATCCGTAGCAGGGAACGTGAACCAAAGCCAATGCAAGGTACCTGAAATTTAACAGACCCGATAAAACTTTACTTTAAGCCTGCCTTTTAAGAATATCGCCAAATAAAAAATGCACAGTTGCTTTTACCAAATCGGTGCCCATGCATTCGACAGATCTAGGAAAGGATATGGCCACCTGTAAGATTGCTCTTACCATCAGACAACTCAGGAGCGGTTTCAAGAGATTTATTTTTTTTTTTTTTTTTTAAGGAAGAGAAGAGGACAAGCCAGAATTCTTTAGAAAGGGATTTTACCATGTGATGCAACATACATGAAGAGCCCACTGGAAAACAACATAAGAACTACTCCAAAGCACAAAGTATACGAAGCCAAACCACGAAAATGGCTGCAACAATTAAACAGCAAGCTCCATTCATTATGCCTAGGAAACAAAAACAGCTAAAAGAAATTCTCAGGAGTCTAGGACAGGTAAACGTCAGGGGCAAAACTGATGCTTACAAGGCTGTTCAAAGCAATCAAGGATGAGAAAGACAGCATTTACAGAGTGCATGCATGCCATCAACTGCCAGAAACAACGGAGATTAGCGAAACACCGAAACCAAATAAACGTAACTGCAGATCAGAAATCAAATGTATGGGTTTTAGGGGCTAATTAAGATGTACAGCAAATTCAACTGAGCAATTTGAAGAAAGTGAACAACTTGTCTATAAGTTACTGCGGATGCCAAGGCGACTAGGAAATGAAAAGAGGGGAAAAGGCATGAAACATCAGCAACTTCAATTCACTAGAGGCAAAAGCAACTAGGCACAATCCCCTTTGCTCTTCAGAAACAAGTATATCATATTAGCTAGCTTCTGGTGTGTCATCGGGGATTACCCGTGAAAAGGACACAATAACAACAGCAGCTTGCTGTCTTTCTGTTTCAAAAGGGCTAAATCAAATTTCAAAGAATTAACTGGTAAAGGAAAACCAATCTCACAATGCTGGATAGAAAAACACACATGAAAGTGGCTCAAAAAAGTAGAGAATTACAGTGTTCAACACATTGCTACTCACCACGGTGAGTTGAAAATGTTCACCGGACATAAATGGGAGTAAAAGGCACCAAAAAACTATATCTGTCAGCATGACTGCACCTGCACAAGTCTGTGTAGAAGTTTCAATCAGATGCGGATACTGCTTTAGTAGAACAAATTCATGGAACCGAATGGAAATTTTAAGCAAGACAGATCACTAGAAGACAGTGTAAGTTCCCATGGCATATATGCATCTTAGAAATGTAGTAGAAAATTAACTCTGAATTTTGTAATTTAGTTTTCACAGAAGCTGCTGTATTAGAGTTGTGCAACGGTATAGGTCTATCATCAGCTGCCGGCAAATATGTCAATATCTTATGAGATACAGTAACACTATTGAGAGCAAATCTGAGATCAAGAGCCCCTCTAAAATCCCCAAAATCTGCATGACTACAAATCCAGGAAGCAAGGATAGAACAATAAAATACATTGGCCATTGTAATTCAAAAGTTTGAAATACTGGAGGGTGCAAACTTAGACCTGCTTCTTGTGGTAGCGAAAATTCGTTCCATTTCATTTCTTCTATATTATACACTCATAGCCATGAAAAGCTCAAAGCAACCTTGAAGGAAGATATCCAAATAAAAGGACATGACTTTTAAGCTTCCAGTAGGTTCCAGAGTCCTTCTTGCCCAAATGCTTCTACCACTCCAGATATATGTGATGGGACACAACTTCTAAAGCCAGGATAAACATTTGTTTTACTGTAAATGCATTAATCATTCAAGTGTTTATGTAATTGTTCAGGATAACTCTGTTGCATCCGAACCATGCAAAAAAATCATAAATGAAGCATCTAGTTTCCAAAACCGTTGCCTTTTCAACTCAGAACAGATACAAGAGTTCTCTTGATAAATGTTTCTAAGAAGCATTTCTTGTTTGTTTCATGCTGTAAGATGCCACCGATGCCAAGATACATATATATATAATGAAGCTCTCCTTTCTGACATTGGAGACAGGGCTCAGCTCGCTCCTTAATCAGATGTTCTAGCCGAATCAGCTGGAAGAGTTGAGACGAAGACTGAAAGAAAAAAATATTTGAAGGATACAAAATTGGATATAACTCACGTAATATATGCATTGCATAAGAACTCCCAGAAGCCAGGTTGTTGGTCAATGGGCACTTGGGCCTGACACTTGATGAAACCTCTATCATCTTGATTCATGATGGAAGTTGATGAGACGTATTCATCATTTTTAGATTCTTCCTCCAAGTTCTTCTTAAGAAGCTTGTCCTTATCTCCACTCTGAGCAAAGGGTGTCTTAGAGTGGATCCAGCATCCGTGGGCAGAGATTATGGTGGCCAGCTAGTAGTAACATAAAGAAAGCATTTGGTGTGCGGGTGAAAATACGCATCAAACAAGGGAGAAATGCAGACAGTGTAACCAAAATTATCCGTATCACTTAGACTAGCTCGTAGTCGTATCTCCGAAAACCAGAAAGTAAAAAAGGAGGCAGGGGAGATGTAAATACCGCAAAGTAGACAGCAACCAATGCAAAAGTCCACCTGCAGAAGCAAAAAAATAAAATATAATATAATAAAAAATGGAGGACAATTATCAGGTCTGAGACTTGTTGGGTTTCGGTTCCAACTTCCAACTTCCAAGCGGTAGAAGTTGAAATGCTGTGCGTCTGATGGTGGTTGGTAGTCGTTGAATATAATACCGTTAAAAAATCAAAAATACTTGTTTGACACATTTTTTTTTAATCTTAGTATCCTGGTCCTCCAGGAGAAGAGCTTATTTGAATTAACACTGAGTGCTATGCAAAGCCAAGAATAAATGATTCTTAATTAGAGTTGAATCACTAATAGTGTAAACGGAAGGGGAATAATGTCATAACAACCAACATACGCAAGGAAGGAATGAAGTGAAAAAGGAGTACTCCCAGCAAGGGAGATGGATTGGAGTTGGGGGGGGGGGTTGGTGGGGGTGTGGAACAGTAGCCTTAGTAAGGTAGGTAAAGAAGAAGTAGTATACGTACTGGGTGTAGAAGAAGAAGATGAAAAATCCAAAGGCTCGGACGATCTGATAGAGGAAGAAAGTCATGGTAAGGAAGGCCAAGGCTCGATAGTAAAGAAGCCAAGTGGATGGAGGGTTGTCCAGCAGGGGGCAGAGAGTTGACGATAAGTGGAGGCGCGGTGTCCCCGTTGTTGTTCTGATGGGTGGTGGTTGTTCTTGTAGTTGATCTTGATTTGATGATGAGAATAGAGAGAGGAGGCGGGGAGAAGGAAGATGAGTGCACAGACGAAGACTTGCCATCGGAGCCAGTAGTGATAGTAGTCGTCTGGGTCTGAGTTCTGCAGCAGCATCCTTCCCCATTATATTTCCGACCCTCTCTCTCTCCTCCCTCCCTCCTATCTCAGGCCTTGGCCGGGGGACGATGATTGTCCTTGTCGAGGAGGCGGTAATTGTGATGATTGAGCAGTTGACTACTCATGGGGCGTGGAAGGCCTTGCTCCTTTTGTTCCGGGAGGAATAGCCTCCCTTGACACTGCGGCAGCGGGTGGTTGGAGGTTCAATTCAGCACTTAATATTGATTTTAACATATTTAAATCATTTGATAACAAAAAATTAAATATTTAAATTAATTAAACGACACTGAATTTTCAAACAAAACTTATTCTAAAAATGAATTCGTATAGTTAGTACCATTTTCTGAATTTAAGTTGTGAAATTTGACTTGATAAATGTGAAACTATATTTTGTTCACAAAATATTCGAGTGTAAATTTGGTTTGGATTTAGTCTAAACTTATTTATTATTTTTAATTTTTTAAATATAATTACTATAACCATTAAGTTTCTGCTAATTTACTATAACCATCATAGAATCACAATATTAAAACTGTACACGAACCAATAACAGTTTATTAAAATATATACAAACTAATAATTTTTTAATAATAATATATCCAATTAGTTTAAAAGTACATGAAAAATAGTAATAAAATATATGATTAATTCTTCTCACTGACAGTTAACACTATCACCGTTGGATTATGATATTTGTGCAAAAATTGAAATATACATTTTAATTTTTACACACATAATGAATCCAACGGTGACTGTGTATAACTTTCAGTGTATATAAGATTTACTCTAAAATATAATCAACAATAAATACATCTTCAAATGCCCTCAATTTGCTCCTAGCAAGAATTGTATTCGAATCTTTTGACATAAGTATGTATACTTAATGGCCTTAGCTGGATTGTGATTTTCATAGAAAATTTTTATGTTTTTCATAAACAAATTTTTCAATCATCTTTTTACTTCACATACATCAAATCGTTACAGTATATTTTTTACAAAACTCATAAAATTAATATTTTATATATATATAAATATATTTTGACATATAACTCATGAGTACAAAATATTGGTATTAGATATTTAGTTATATAATTATATCTATATATGTATCAAAATATGAATATTATATATTATATATATATATATATATAGATGTAAATTAAAAGGTTGGGTCTATATCATTTAAACCCACTAAGATCCAAACTCAATTAGATCTAATATTTAGATTCAAACTCAATCTAACTCAAATTAAGGTTAGGTTCATCTTGGGTTAACCCGACCCATTAATAATTTAATAGTCCAAACGTGCATACATACCCGACCCGACCTCCCCCTTCTCCTCCACACCCAACAAAAAAATTGAATAAATGAAAACAATTAAAAATGCTGGTACTGCTTACAGGAGGACTGAAGTGCGACGTGGAAGTACCACGTGTTGAGAAAGGATAGGCGGGAGGAGGGCGCAGCAATTAGGGCTGGGTCTGGGCAGCAGCGGCCACTCGTCGGCGAATCCCCATCCATCCACCAGTTTCCAGCAGCAGAGCCGGTATCCAACTCCAGGATTTCAGATTTCAGCGCCGCAGTTCACAGTTGGCCAACCGCCCAGCACCACCACCACCCCCCTTCCCCAAAAAAAAAGATCAACAGAAATGTCTGCGACTGCTGCTGTGTCCCTCTCCTTATTAATCAGAACCCCCGTCTCGTCCTACCCCTCCCTTGCTCCTCTAATTCAATTGCCATTCCACAACCACCACCATCATCATCTTTGACCAACTCACTACCGTCTTTTTCTGCTTATGATTCTTTCTCGCCCTCATTCTCCTCATCTACTACTACATTGGCCACCACCGCTAGATGCATTGGAGTTTTCCATTCCCCCACTTATACAATTCCTACTCCTACTACTAGAACAAGTCGAACAAGTCCAAGTGGTGGTAGTAGTAGTAGATAGAAGAAGAAGAAGATACTCCTATTTTTACTACCGAAGGCAGAGGAATCCCACCTTTCCCCTCATCACCACACCTTCCATTTCGCCTCCTCCTCCCCCCTCGTCGTCATGATGGAGTGGCAGGATTGCACGTACATCTTTCTTCCAATTCCCTAAACCCTCTCTCCTGTTTCCTTGTTTCATTTTTCTTTTCTTCTTAGTTGCCCTTTGCTGCTACACTACTCTTGTTGTGTTACTAGTCCTACCTAATTCATTTCATTTGCTGATAATTCTTTGTAATTCAAAACTCTTACTAACTACTACAGCTTTTTCCTCTTTTTTTAAACAAAAAGGAGAAGAAGAAGTACTGCTTCGTTTCTCATTTTCATTTGCACCTCCCCGCTTCTTATGACTTGCAAAATCATTTCCGGATAAAATGTTGCAGAGTTAAAATGGAAATAGACGTCCCAACTTCTGTCGCTTATACTTGTTATTCCGATCGCGAGGCTATTGCTCGATGGATGCCCTTCATTTCTTCAGTCAAGGTTCTCTACCCCCCCCCCCCCTCTCTCCTTTTTTCCCTCCTTTTTCTCCTTTTTTTCTTATTTATTCGCACGTATTTATGTCATATTCTTCTCCTCTTGTAAATAGCCATGAAAGTTCCCCTCAACGCAGTTGAATTTTTGGTTTGATGTCAATAAAATTAGTAAATATGTAAATTAAGAATGCCTGTTAAATGTTCGTCATTCCGCTACTGCCCGTAGACGATTATCCTGATCCCAGTTGCTTCCTATTTCCCATATATTCTGATACATGCACAATTCTACCGATGTGAAACGTGATCTTCCTTTCTGTTTCTCAGATTCTGGAGGACAAGCCTGACCTATCTCGTTGGTCCCTCGAATACAAAGCATTTGGCCTCGATATTGAATTTTCTTGGCTTGCCAGAAACATGCAGGTAAACCCGTCCGAATGCCTTCCCATTTTTTTCGTCATTCTTTCTACTTCATTCACTATCATTCATGCTTTTTTCGGTGATTATATTCCCCTAAACTTATATGCAGCCAATTCCAAACCAGAAAATCCATTGGAGATCTCTGGAAGGTCTCCCTAACAGGTATTTCTGAGATTGTCAGAATGATGGCCTAGTTTTAACAACTAATAAAGATGTGCCATTTTTTTTCTGAATTTGCAGGGGAGCTGTCAGATTTTATCCTAAAGGTGCTTCATCATGTAATGTAGAAGTAAGATTTCTTTAAACATATTCACCATGCATTTCAATCATTCAATGTTTAGTGCAGTTATATGCTGGCGTTGAATCTATTCGCGCTTAAAAACCAAAGTGCGATTAGAACAATAAAATGAATTAAAGCATGGAAAGAGCATATATTAGTGGAAAACAAGCACCTTAAGCATCTCTGAGTGTGAACCGTGAGAGTTTGAGTAGCTAATTGAGTGGGAAGTCATTGGATTTCAAATGGGATGCTTTTTAAGTTCAAAAGTGTTAACCCGTTAACCTGGTTTTGTGCATGTATTACTTGATACTTACCATGCGCGTGTTTTTTACCCTTCTGGTCGTTCAGTCCCTGAAGATCTATTGAGTTCCTTAAGCTTAGTTCTTTCTTCTGTCAGTTGACTGTCTCATATGAAGTCCCTCAGCTGTTGATTCCAGTGGCATCGGTAAGCATTTAAACTTGATTACAGAACCCTATTCATAGCTTAGGTCAATGGTCATATAGAGGAAATAACAGCTAAAGTTCAATGTGGATGAAGAGTAAATAACTTGACTATGCTTGCTGTACAATGATAAAAGTATTATACTAGAGATGGATCGAAGAGAAATAGACTTTAGAATTCCAATTTCGGCTGAATTTGATTCATTTGACGAATTTCTCTGATTGTATACATGTTCCAGGCTTTGCAACCTGTTCTTGAAAGTTTGCTGGTTCGTGGTTTAGAACGATTTGCAAAATTTGCTAAAGAATATTATTCTCGCAACCCAACTGTCTGACGTGTAATGTAATTTTTCAAGATTATTACTTTATGAAGACAAACAATTATAGTTGAACTTTTAGTAATTGATTGAAGAAACAATGTCAAACTGGAGATGCTATCGATGTTTGTAAAGATTAAGTAGAAAGAAAGTGGAATCTTCTTTGCTGGAAGTCCAATACTCGCTTTTCTTGTTGCTTTACCTTTCTAATTGTAAGCGTTTGGGGATGGTTAGTCCTGATCTCTCATTTGGACGGTCTCAGGGTCATTGCAGTTTGTTTGTACGTTTACAGAAGTTCTCAGACAAAGCTGTTGCATAACTTGTCTGTAAAAAATTATCCAAATGGAGGGATTGGGCTGTTGCGGTTGCAGGTTGCATCTTGCCTTTGACGGCCAAAACAACTGAGCCGAGCTCAGACTGATTTAGGCTGTTGAAAATTACCAACCCATATCAGTCTGAGAAATGAATTCCAGAACAGTGCGAACTCAGGTCGGCTTGGCAAATTTTGGCAGTTAAACGTTTTTGGCGGTGCAACTGCCGTGAACTCGGATCCCAAATGGAGCTACCAAGACGAGGCACCAAAGTATGACTGTGCATCACTGTTGGTGACTTGGTGCATACAACAGATGTGTTAGAGAGCTAGGGCAGTCAGCATGATTGCTTCAACTTCTACTTTGGTGCCTATCCTTGCTTATCGAAGAATTTCCGCACCTAATTATTACAAGGAATAAGTAAGGAAACCTTCGTGACAACTTCGCCTAATTCGCATGAAATTTCAAAAGTTACATATACCTCCCTTCAAATCACCATTTGGGTAGCAAGAACAATTTAGTGATCAAAATTTTGAATGAATAATCCAAAATGTTCTCATGAAAATGGGAAGTTCATTTTATTTTTTCATAAAATTTTGGAACATATATAAAATCACAAATCCACTTTCAACCTTCATCTGTATTATTCTAAACCTTCTACATTTCCCCGTCCTCAATTAGTACCACTATTTCCATGACCATTATTACTACTAGTCTCTAAATATTAAATTTTAAAAAAATCACTAATTGCATTAATATAACATCCTATCTCTTAAATATTAAACTAATTGCCCTCCCTTGTGACTTTAAAAATATCACTAACTTCCCTTGAAACCAATTTTCTTGTAACAATTTAGTCCAATTCACAAAAAGCAACAATAAAAAATTAATTTCATATGTGAGAAGATTTGTTATGCCAAAAGTGCCCCTCAACTATTATATTACTATACATGGTCAATGAAAATTTTTATTATCCATAAAAAAATAACAACTTCCAAAATTTAACAAAACTTTTTTTCCATACCTTAAGATTCTTGCTATCAGCACAATTATAAGAAAATTTAACTCAACTGAAATCTAATTATATTTAATTCCTTTTATTTATCAAGTGCATAAATTGAAAAAAGAATGCCTAGTGTTGGATCCTCTTTAAATGCCAATTTAGTTTTTTTTTTCATTTCAAATTATGGTTAATTTAGTTTGAAAACTGTTCAATTGTTCCTCATGTCTAAATCCTTTAGTTTATCAATTGCATTACGTCTAATTTCTTTTACTTGTAAGCATGTAAAAATTAAAAAAGATGCTCCTAATATTGGCTCTATGTTTAAATGGCAAATTAATTAACTTTTACAATCTAAATCATGCTTAATGTAGTTAGCAAAATTTTAACTCTTTTCCTTCACATATATCTGTAATTATCCTAAATTATAAGGGTAATAAAGTCATTTAGCCATTAGTGATGTAAGCATTGGGTCTTAAATGACTGACAAATGGGGAAGTAAGTAAAATTTTTAAAATCTTAGGAGAGAAAAATGAAATTGTCAAAAACCTCAAGAGAGGTTTTTGAAATTATCTCATTAAACTATTTATAACTATGACTATTTTTACTTTTAAGTATATATTTTCAACATAACTATCCCTAAACATTTATCAGCTACCAATCTAAATTTATTTTATAAAAAATATTTAAAAAATTAAATATTATTTCAGTAATAAAAATTTTATTTAAAATATATGACTATAATTATGTAATTTTTGATCGCACACATTGGGTAGGCATTGAATATTGGTGCCTAAAAATCAGGACAAAAAGGAATGGGATCCAATAAAACTATTGTTTAAAATTAGGCAAATCCCACCAAATTGCTAAATAGCAATTGCATGCTAGGACTACAATTAGAGCTGTTAATCGAGCCGAACCATACTGGAGCTTAATTCGAGCCGAGCTCGTTAAGCAAATGAGCTTTAAAATGTGTTTGAACTTGATTCGTCAAATGTACATGTGGCTCTAACTCGATCTCGTGCAAATAAACCTTAATAAAATATATTATTTTTAATTTTTATATTTTTGACTTCTAAAATGATAAATATGCCCTTTATTAACGAGTTCTAATGAGTTATTCAGATATTAAGCTCGACTCATTAACTAAACGAACACATTTCTAGTTCGAGCTCGGCTCGTTTATCGCAACTAACCAATCGAGCTTAAGCCTTGTCAAGCCGAGCTCTGACGAGATTTCGAGCCACCGTGAAGTTTAACAGCTCTCGGGAGTCAGGACTCAGGAACAGTGCAGTAACAGCCGATAGCGGCCGGAGGGACGGGATGTCACTCGGCAAGTACCGGCCGGCGCCGCTGTCAAAACCCCTATAAAGTACTACTAGTAAAAATTAATAAAACCCCAAAAAAAAAAAAATCCTACTGCGATGTTCAGTGTACACACCAATGCTTTGCTTGGTTTCTCCTCACCTCAATTTCAATCTCCGAAAGAAGAAAGAAAGAAAGACAAGTTCAAGCTTGTTGCTGGTGGCTTTAAGCCTTTGACAACTAGAATTTGGACCAGCCATCCTGCTTTGAATTTCCCCTCATTAGGTTTGGGTTTTTAGATATGGATCGCAGCAGCACCTTCAGTATCTGTTGCTACGTTTCCCCCATATTTGGTTTAGTCCTGTAAATGCACCACCGCCACCAGATCGCCGCTTCTTTTAATGCCCGCCCGAGTGAGTCTCTCTCTCTCTCTCTCACAGAGCGAGCCAAACACCCTCCCCCCCCCCCCCCCAAAAAATCCCGAATGCCCATCCGGCTTTTCTCATTTTCAACATCCCACCGTGTTTTTCTTCCATTTTTCACTTGCTTTGTCTAATAATTTCTATGCTATGATTAACGTTGCTGATTGGAATGTTTCTCCCCTACTACTGGCCTTACTACTACCCGAATTTTTTTCCTTAAAATACGAAAATAATATATCCAAAATTTTTCTAGGGTTTGCTTTCTCACTCCCTATCAATTCCAATTACTAGCATTGTTATGCAGTATAAGATGAAAGGTAGAAAGAGTGTTGACAAATGAATTTACGTCCCCTAGAAAGTAACTACTCCAAGTTGTAAATACTCTGATCCCTTCCAGCTTTTTCTATACAATTTTTTTTTTAATTTCAAAATTTTCCCAAATCACGGCAACCATTACTACGGGCACCGTTTTGTACTGACCTCTTTGATCTGCCATGGATTTCTTGCACGGAGCAACTCTTTTTAATACACACCTTCTGTCGTCAGGATCTGAAGCTGGCAAGTTTGTAGTTAAAATGATTCATACAATAGTAGCAGCTTGTTTCCATGCTTTTACGAGCGTTTGTGTGCTGGATTCATGTATGCTGTTTTAGAGTTTCATTTGCTGCTCCAGCACAGGACGTGTGCGATTTTCTTTTTCTTTCTTCTTTTCATGTTGAGAGATTAAACCTCTCGTGATCCCCTCCAACAACAACCCCCCCCCCTCCCCCCAAACAAACAAAAACACCGCCCACAAGCAAACCCCTTTCAAAGCAAATACCTGTGAGTATTTTGTAGAGTCTTGCACTTCTGCTAATTGATTCGGTCAACAAATTCTTGACAGGAGCTTTCTTGATTCTTCTTCTCCATTCAGGCCCCTTCAGTCCTAACAAATGACTGCCATAACTGCTGCTTCTGCCATTAGAGATACCACTGCTCTTATTAGATTACCTCAAGAGATGAATGACCTCAGAATCAGCGACGATAAGGTACGATTTTCGTATCCTCGTCTCTCAATTTTGTTTTTAGCTCTTTTGGCATTGGATTTCTTTTCATCATGATCTTACACCTTCCAGTATAAATCATTTCTTTTTTTTTTATTTTCCATCTAGGAAATGGAAGCAACTGTCATTAATGGTAATGGAACAGAGGCTGGACATATAATTGTGACCACTGTTGGGGTAAGAATGGCCAGCCAAAGCAGGTGAGAATTTTTGTCTCTTTTTTCCTGCTACAAGACGGCGCCTTATGAGCGCGATTGTATGTTGAGATAGTTATGCCTTTCTGTGCTAGACAATCAGCTATATGGCTGAGCGTGCTGTTGGCCAAGGATCCTTCGGAGTAGTTTTCCAGGTTAGTTACCTCCTCAGCGTTCCATTGATATGCATTTTCTAGTGGAGGGAAATACTGGCGCTAGATAATGCAGCACAGTGGCGGAGCCACATGTAAACAAGTGGGGCCAATGGACACCAGTTCATTTTGGGAAAATTAACTTTTAAGCTTAGAAAATTTAAAAGTTTTTAAAGTTGCATTTTATTTGCTCCCACTAAATTTTATCAAATTCTCTTTTCTATCTACATTGACTCCCAAATAATTGAAAGTTCATAATTGTCACCGTTAGAAGAATTTTGGATTTACTTAAAATTAATTGTGGAACCTAAATATCTTTGTAGTCAAATTTGTTTGATTATTTTAACAAATTTGAGATTGTGTTCAATTTTGTTTATCAAGCCGAGCTCGAACAACTTTTTATCGAGTTGAGCTTTAGTAGCTTGAATATTTCCAATTGTATGGTAATCAAGCTAAGCTCGAGTCGAGTTAAAAAATTGACCAAACACAAAAACTATTCGTAATTGATTTGATAATTCGCGAATCAAATTCGAATGAACTCTTACCGAACCAAACTAAATTTGAGTATTGAGTAGATTGTTTGGTCTTTCAGTCCCAATTTCATTCCATGGTGCTGTCAGAGATTGAAGCCCCTTACTCTAGGGTCTTGGCTCTACCACAGATGCCGCATTCTTATGTCGTTTAATTCCCTCTGACTTTCTGGTATTTGTGGTTTTACAGGCAAAATGCTTAGAGACTGGTGAAACTGTTGCAATAAAGAAGGTTCTTCAAGATAAGAGATACAAGAACCGGGAGTTACAAACTATGCGTTTACTGGACCACCCTAATGTCATTTCCTTGAAGCACTGCTTCTTTTCAACCACCGAAAAGAAAGAGCTTTTCCTCAACTTAGTGCTGGAGTATGTCCCTGAGACTGTTCATCGCGTTATAAAACATTATAGCAAGATGAGCCAGAGGATGCCGACAATTTATGTCAAGTTGTACACTTATCAGGCATGTATCTGGCCTGTGTATCGACGTTGATATTCTGTTTTCAGCTTAATTGTTCCAATTAAGTCTTTCTCGTGTTTTGTGCTGAAAGTTCTACTTATTGCTGTGAGCTTTTGTGTAGATTTTCGGAGCACTGGCCTACATCCATGGGGTTATTGGAGTATGCCATAGGGATATTAAACCTCAAAATCTTTTGGTAAGTGTATAAGTGTACTCAATACATATTACATATTTAGTTTGTTCTTATTTGTGTCTGTGTTCTCTTGGAAATTATGGTTACTTTCATTGTGGAGCGAATTATCGCCATCATGGTCAAACATTTGTATGCAGGAACTAAACTTGTCTTTACATCACTTTGCTTGATGATGTTGTAGTAATAACCTTAGATTTTGTTAATGAGTGTTTGTTTGCAGTGAACCTAATGGCATGGCACGCAAAATCCTTATGAACTTTTAATTATTTAATTCTTGGGGCTTTTATTTGTAAGAGAGATGTCAAAGTTTGCAGTGATTCTTTTCATTTGCAGATTAATCCACATACTCACCAAGTCAAAATATGCGATTTTGGAAGTGCAAAAGTGCTGGTTTGTATCTGCTTCAAAGTTTCCATCTGATAAATGAATATTGTCTTATCTTGCCTCTGTTCTTGAATCAGTTGATTTTATAATCTGCTCAATGTGCAGGTAAAAGGTGAGCCCAATATTTCCTACATTTGCTCTAGGTTCTATCGGGCACCTGAACTAATATTTGGTGCGACTGAGTACACTACTGCAATCGACATTTGGTCCTCTGGATGTGTTTTGGCTGAATTATTGCTGGGACAGGTAGACGTCATAATTGTCGTCTTCTTCTTCTTTTTTTCTTCTTCTTTTACAGGGGGTTTTGTTTTAATTCTATTTAAGATGTGTTTGTGCAACTTTCAGCCTCTCTTTCCTGGTGAAAGTGGAGTTGATCAGCTTGTGGAAATCATAAAGGTGCGTAGTATTTAGTTGTCAAGGCCATATCAACCATGGAGTACGAGGTGTTTCAAGATTATTATTGTTAATAAAAACTGACATGTTGGCCATTATTGGTAGAGTTGTTATTGTAGTTGCTAGTCACATTTTCTGGTATATGCTGCTTTTACCGGTGTAGGATGGATTTTGTGTTTTAATTACTTGGTATGAGACTAGGACGTGCTTGCTCATGTGCAGGTTTTGGGAACCCCAACTAGGGAGGAAATCAAATGTATGAATCCCAACTACACAGAGTTTAAATTTCCTCAAATCAAGGCACACCCATGGCACAAGGTAAGAAGGATATAGTTACATGCCTCCTGTGTTGTCTTTAGAACTTGTTTTGCTTGTATTCTTCAATTTACAGGTTGCTCATCTTTGTAGATATTCCACAAGCGCATGCCTCCTGAAGCAGTGGACCTTGTTTCAAGGCTATTGCAGTATTCTCCAAGTCTACGGAGCACAGCTGTGAGTTCATGACCATGAAGAAAAAACACGCATGAAATGACATACGTTCTGTTTATGCTTCTCACCCATAATAGTGGTTGTAAAATTATTTGTTTTTCTGGTGCTTTAATATCCCATGATTATGATTTCATGTTTCTCTCTCCACTTGCTCACTGCCAATGCAGTTGGAGGCATTGATCCATCCCTTCTTTGACGAATTACGGGATCCCAATACCCACCTACCAAATGGGCGTTTTCTGCCTCCACTGTTCAACTTTAGACCTCATGGTAAGTAGCAAGTCTTTGAATGAAAATTTTCATAATACCTGCCCTTGGCATTTCTGATGCAGATTGTTTTCCTTTTGGTTGTGCTGGCTATTACTCAGAGCTCAATGGGGTGCCAATGGAGATTATGGTGAAGTTGATCCCAGAGCATGCTAGAAAGCAATGCTCATTCCTTAATTTCTGATTATACATGCTGAATTTGGGAAAAAGAAAATGCTTGCTCCGTTGAAAAGAACTTTTTGAATATTGTTTTATTTTTTTTCCCATATACCTTTCGCCATCGTTTTATGTGTTTTATTACCTTTTCCCTGTATTAGCAGAGGAAAAGTTTCTGCTTAATGTTTATCCTCACTATGGTTAGTACGTCCTGTGCTAACCATGCTATTTTTTTTTATTTTCTTTTCCCATGTAACAAATATAGATTGCCGCATGTTAATGAATAGAAATAGCTGGATTACCATTTTTTTTTTTATTTTGCCTTGTAATCTAGAAAAAAGAGTGAAAACATTTGAAAAATGGGAGTAGTGGCCCTGTTGATTCTATTCTTATTTCTACCTGGTCTTTTTGGTTCAAGCAGTCGCCCTGTTGATTAAACCATTAAAACGATTCAGTGAGCGTTGTTTGGAAAGAGGGAAGGATGGCCTGGTCTGGCCTGTTAGTATTGTCTAAGAAGATGCGCACCCGTCTGATTCTTCCTCTTTTTGATGGACCTGAGGAGTGGCCATGAATTACAGCCGGCGCCAGTGGCTGGTATTCTACAGAGCGAACCAGATGTCACTCCAAGGGGGTCCGTCTAATTGACAGAAGGGGTGAGAAATGGTGGAATCTTACAGAGCTTTAAAGAAGTGCAGAGCTTTAATAAAGCTCTTCTGGAGAAACAAGTATGGAGAATCCTGACCAACCCCAACTTACTGGTGAGCAAAGTGTTGAAGGCGAAATATTTCAACAATGAATCCATTCTCAAGTGCAAAGTACCAAAACAGTCCTCTTGGATGTGGCAAAGTCTAATGGATTCAAGAGACCTGGTGCAGGAGGGAACAAGAAGAAAGGTGAGAAATGGCAGAAGTATAAACATCTGGAACGATGGGTGGATACCAGGAAATAAGGATGGTAGAGTGCAAACAGACAAACCTCCCAACTGTGATGTGTCTAAGGTTGAAGATTTGATTAGGGGTTTCCGATGGAACAAGTACGTAATTTTTTCAACTTTCAACAAAAAAGATGCTGAAAAGATCCTGCAGATACCCGTTAGCTTGTCAAGGAGAGAGGACAACAACTATTGGATACATAGTGAAATTGGTCAATACACTGTAAAGTCGGGTTATAAACTTTTGTGTGACTGGAGTGAACAAAGGAAAAACAAAGAAGAAGCTCTGGGGGAAACAAGTGTGGCAAGCAATTTCAGCAACATATGGAAGAAGTTATGGAAGCTAAACGTAAAAGGAAAATTGAAACATTTTTTGTGGAAGTGCATTAAAGGAATTCTACCAGTGAACAACCAGGTCTACAAAAGGACAGGGAAGGGTGATCCAATTTGCAAAGGATGTGGCGAACAAGTGGAAACCATAGAGCATATGCTGCTTAGCTGCAGGAGAGCTAGGGAGGTGTGGAAGATGGCACCAATTCAGTGGGATGAGATATTGGCACAGTCAGGTAACTTTTCCTATTGGTGGAATGAAGTAATGGAAGCAGCAAAAAGGAACAAGGTCAGAGCCACATTGAGCTAACAACCAACATAAACTTCTGTCCATTCCTTCCCTTTCCGCCCAACATTGGGCGGAAAGTTTTCCAAAAGATGAAGTGCAGTGGAATCTTTCCTATTCTTTTCTTTTCCTTCTCATTTTAGCTCCCAAACAATGGAAAAACTTTTTTATCCCTTCAAAACCTTTCTTTTCTTTTCATTTCCATCCTCCCAAACTAGCTATTAAGGTCCACAGGTCAATAGTAGAATACAAGTATTTTTATTCTTGAATCCCGTGAATATGTTTCCTAAGCCAGTAAGCCTTAACCCCTCTCCTATTCAGCCGGTTGCTCGTATCTCAAAAAGCAAAAGACAAAACAGCACCATGGGAGACTAGGTGATGTGAAATCATTCCAAAGAGCCCCGCTTTTGGGAAATTTTTTTTAAATTCTAATTAGAACCGTAAACGAGTCAAATCTAATTGAATTTTAACCTAATTAGGATTGTAAACGAGTTAAATCGAATTAAATTTTAATTTAATTGAGTCAAATTTTGACTTAATTTTATGAAACTTGAGTTCAATAAACTTTTAATGTAAAGTTCGAACTCGAATTTGACTCAGATTCAAGTCGAGTGAAGCTCAAGCTTAAAAAAATAAAAAAAATAATTATTTTATTTTTTTAAAAAATAATTTTTAAAACAATAATAAAATATTAAATATATATAATTTTACTATTAAAATAAAAAATATAAAATCAACGAATTAAATATTCTTGAGATCGAATTCGAATTCAGATTCGACTTGATCGGTTCAAACTCTAATCAAATTTTTGATTAACTGAAACAACAAGCGAGCATACATGTATAATTACATAGTAATCAAATTAAAATCTGTTTTTAATGCCTCACTAATACTCCTACCTATATGTATAATTACATAGTAATACATTAGTCGTGTGTGAGCATAAAAGTATATAATTGACGAGGAACAGAAACTTCCACACAGCATATTTGAACTGTTCAACCAATGGCTCTCGCACATATTCCAATTGCAAAGCAATTAGGATATGTAAATCTAAAACAAAACTGGAGGATTCTTCCGAATACAAGTTGGTAAGTCCGAGCATTTGGATCGACTTTGTATACCATAAACAGCTTTTCAGCTTCAATTCAAATGGGAAGAAAGCGATAAAGAAGAAGACCCTTAATTTTTTTTTTTTTAAATTTAACTGAGCAAACAGCAGGTGAATTTGGCATCTGATAGAATTATCTTCTCCGCTTTAGTAACAACATCCAGAGGAAGAGGACCAAAACTTCGAGATGGACCGTAGAAATGAGGGAAGACCTTAGAGGAGTCGTCCGCAGCGGCTTCATAAACCAAACCATCACCAAGCTGCACAAGGGCACAAATAATTTCTATCAGCTCCATCCAAATATTGCAAGCAAGTTGGCCCATGTAAATAATCTGCGATGAAAGAGAGCGCTTGCTTGCTTTTCAGCATCATCCGTGAGTATGGTGTGGAAATTTTTTTACCTTTTTAGCATCGATTTGGAGCAGGAACAAGTCTTGTCCCTTAGAGTTCAGGAAAAAGTTGTGTAAAACCCACTGAACCTGCAAAGTCAGAAGAAGAGATGGCACAACTGTTGATTATGCAGTAGTTTAGTTTGAATACAATAATGGTAGGTGGAGGAAGGGAGGAGAAGAAAGGGGGTTGGCTCTAGAGAAGTTATACTAGCCGCACAAACTGCTTCGTGGAGGACTCCCTGTTTCAATATCTACAAACGCAGCAGCCAACTGTCACTAGTGTTGGCAAAAGCCAGATAATCCTTGAAAAGAAATGGCTGCCCGGAAGATTTATCTTTGTATTATTGTGAGCGCCTGAACAAGTTGGGTTTGAAGTTGGCTCCAGGGATGGCCTAGCAATAAAACGGGCTCTTGGATTGGATGAGATCCTGGTTCAAATCTTTCCTCAAGCTTGAACTCCCTGTCCAACTTGGGTACCTCGTGAGAGGCCACGGCGTATCCCGATTTGGTGCGTCGGCTCGAGTCTTAAACAGTTCGAGTCGAAACATGTTTCGGGTCACAGAAAAAATAAAAAATTGGGTTTGTATTCGTACGTAGAAGCATGCTGAAGATGCAGGTAAGCGATCCTAGTGTGGAGTGAGTCGGTGGTAGAGTTTTGTTCACAAACAAAGATCAATTATACTCTCTACTTGAAATAAAAAAGAGTGCGACCCAGCGAGCGAGCGAGCTCTAAAATATTGCTACTGCTCGACGACATGACTGCATCTGCATCTGCATGTTGTTAAAGCTTGTTGATAAACAAAACAACCCCCTCTTACCTCACTTTGGTAGCTGAATTCGGATTCTTTCCCAAATTGGATGAAACAAAATCTTTTTTTTTTTTTTTTTTTTTGTTGTTGATCATCTTACGAAGTGTGAAGGAATTAGAGTAAGCAGACGGGATCCAAAAAGGTAAAATGTTTGGAAATCAATCAATCTCGTTTCATCGTTGGATAAACGAAAGTATAATGGGATGGAACCCTAAGCACAACTAAATAAATTACTACAATTATAGCTAAAAATAAATAAATACTAGTGGTACTGGTTTAGTAGCACGAGTAACGAATAAAATTAATGGAAACAAGCGAAAAGAAAAGGGAGTCGGTATAGGCACATTGAGTTTCCGGTTAACCTGACCTGGTGGAGGTTGCTGAGATGAATACAGCCGGTTGATTTATCAATTTGTCGGCCAAAAGTAGATCCACTTGTCTGCAGTTCCGCCCACTCCTCCGCGGTACTGATCCTGTACACGTAGTCATTGCAAAACCCTTGCTCCTCCTCCTCCTCCTCCTTTCTTAGTATTCTTACAACTATTCCAGCCCTTCTCCTTCTCCATCTCGGCCATTTATCACCCGCCCCTGAACCTCACCTCTCCAGACAGTGCCCACGGCTCCCTTACCTAGCCACCAGCATACACCTCCCTTCAATTTGCGTTCATTTGGTTTGGATTGGATTGGATTCATTTGCCCCAAATTGATGTGTTATATTAATCTGCCGGCCTCGGCGCCTTAGGTCCACGTGGAGATAAGAGCTTCAGTAAAAGTTATTTTATTTAAAGAATTGAAATAAAAATTAATAGATTAATTTTTTAAAATTCTTAACAATAACTTCCATACTTTTTATATTTCCCTTTGTCACTCAGCCCTTAACTAGGCTGCAAACGAATCGAGTTCGAGTCAAGCTCGAGTCGGCTCCAGTTAAACCGAGTTCGAATTCGAGATAAGAATATTAACTTTTATTTTTATTTAATAATAAAATTACTATATAATATATATTTTTTTATTTTTTATTTATAGTAAATTACGTATATATCTTAATATTTTATTAATTTATTCAGAAAAAATATTATTTTATTTATTTTTTTAAAAAAAATAATTTATTTTAATTTTTTTGCAAGCTCGAGTTCGAAAATTACCGGCTCGTCGAGCTCGAACTTGATAAAATTAATCGAGACTCGGCTCGAATAACTCAAAACTCGACTCGATTCGGCTCGTTTGCAGCCCTACCCTTAACGACATTTCCCTTCAAAAATGTGTCAACTTGGAGTGATCGAAAGGTATTATTGTTCCTAAACTTTTGGAATCATCAGACTTTTTATATTGAACTATTAAAAATATGATTTTGACCAATAAATTATTAAAAATATGATTCGATCAGTGAACTATTTCAAGTTTAAATTTCGAACAACTTTCTTTACCTCGTGAATCATATAGACACTCAGATTTGCGTAGAGATTAAACGGAATAGTCCAAAATCTAAACTTTCAATACTTCAGTGATCAAAACTTGCCGATTCTAGAAATTCAGTAGCCATTCGCATAATTTGCTCAATTCAAATAGATGATCAAAATGCCAAAAAAAAAGAGGGAAAATTTTTTACTGATTTGACCCCCTTTTTTTTTGTTTATTTAGTTTTGGCCATTAAATGGTTCATACTTGGATAGCCCTGATCTTAAAAAACACAATGCTCTAAATTGTACTACACCATCTCATCAAATGGTCTGACACAATTTGGATCATTAGACCTTAAAAACTGGATCTATCTAGATTTTGGCCTAATTAAAAATTGGAATTACTATCATAAACCTTTTTATTTTCCTCGCCTCTTGCAAGACAAGGGTTGGGATACAAGACGATTTGCAATTCTGCTGCTCTGCAGCATCTCCTCCTTGTACCTTTATTTTAATTTACATACCATCGTTTTTTCAAGCAATGGTCTTCCACCCAAATCCTGGCCACTTCCCCCCTCGGTTTTCCCTCTTCAACCACTAGCCGGCTAGTACATTTTGGTTAATTCCCACGTCCTCCATTCAGAAACTTAAGCAGCTGGTGATTCAGCAGCAGAGAACATGTCAGTCCGGCCTCCCATCATCCTCTCAGCCTATTCTCCCCGCTCACCTGCAATAGTACCACCACCAACCATGTTTCAGCACAGTTTACAACTCAGTTCCGATACGCAATTCCTATCAGTTCCAGCAGTTTCCACCACTAAAATAAGCTTAAACCCCTATGCCTACAAAGGAAGCACATTACCTGTGCGAACTCTTATTACATCTGCAACAGGAACCACTGCACCAACAACAGGAAACCAATGTCAATTTGACTGGAACTTGCCTAAATCTATTAGTTCTTTAGTGACCATTCGTGTGATTACACGCTCAAGCATGTCAACCAAATTGCGGCATGTATGACCTAAATACTACAAACCTGAGGTTAAGCAGATCCTCTCTCTCTCTCT